TATTATATATTTTAATCTTAAGCACAAAAGAATTTCTCTTCACTTATTGCCTTCTAGGCAAGCAAGCCACTGGTTGGACCATGTTGTTTAAATCATAAAATATTTTTTCTTTTTACAAACTTTGGGTTAAAAGACTTTCTACAAGGTTAAGTGCCAGTCCTAGGTTGAAGCTGATGTAAAGTTCTCATTCTTTCTACCATACCACCTAGCCACCCAGACTGATACAATTTCAGATTGGTTTTAACTTTTCCTTGTGGGATAACATCCAGAATAGATAACCACTTTCTATAAATATATAATTATATTTCTGCTGTTGTTAATTTGGATTTAATTAATGCTAATTCCTTACCTAAATCCCATACTCATAAAATTATTACTGAATGTTGCACAAAAATTCTAATTTATTTTTGTCAAAAATCCCTACTTAGCTGAGGTTAAACATTTTGGAGAGGTAATTGTAGAATCATGTGCAGTTGTAAGAAATACTTCCAAGAATCATTCAGCTTTATAAACAATATAAATGTAAACAATATAGATGAAATAATAGTGAATATATATAATACTTGTAGTACACAGCATCATCTCTCTCCACTAGCTATCTGACCTCTGCATCCCCTAGTACAGACTCTTTGTGGTTCCTTCACTCCTTGTGTCTCAGGGTTTAAAAGTATGTATTATGATTTTTCCTTTTGGATTTTCTTGCCATTACCTGTATCTAGAAGCCCCACATTCTTTGACTGACTTAGATTTTGTACTAGAGGCTCAATTTTTAACTGCATTTTTTCTGATTGCTTCTTTGATATGCCTCTACACAATTAGCTTCCCTGTCTATTTCCATAGCACCCATAACTTATTCCTGTCACACGGTCTTAATATGGACTGTAATAATTTTCCATTTATTTGCCTATATTTTTTCTAGACTGCAAGATAATTGAGAAAGGATTTTTTTCCTTGTTCACCCTGAATCTCCAGTGACTATAAACTCTTTGAAGGCATATGTTTTACTTTGCTTCTCCAGGGCCCCAGAACATTGCCTGTTACATACAGGAGTTAAGTAAATATTGGAGGATGAATGGGTGAGAAATTGTGGAGTAGATGAATAGGCAATGACTAATTGACTATTAGTTTCATTTACTAAAAAGTTTATAATAAAACATAAACCAGACTAAGTAGATAGTAATTTCTGTGTGGTCTATTCATTAGAAACATTTTTAAAGCTTACCAGTCTGGAGAAATTGCATAGGTGATGTTAGGGAATATTTGGAAAAATAGCTTTTGTGAAAAGAAAAACTATGCATCTGGCTTCTAAAAAGTTTTAAATTGGCTAGAATTGAGATTAATGGTAAACTTTTAAGGAAATAAATAATTTTGCTTTGTATAAAGTAGTAGAGTACCTTATACTCTACAAATTTAAATATATATTTGATGGACTTTGTATATGTGTATCCTGATACTCATATGATTTAGTTATGCAGTATTTACTCATGCAGTATGAAACTATTTCTAGTATTGATGGTTTAAAAACAATGATTTCTGAAGAAGTGTAGGAAATTAATATATTGCATAGGTAATATTCTAGACTTCACATCCCCCCCCCCATTAAGTTTATTGGTACATTTTAGGTATAAAATACATTTACAGACATCATTGGGATCTTGTACCATTACATGAGTATCTTGGTT